ATATAATTAATCATTAAAATTCACTTAATAGCAATTTTGTTTTGACTTTTTTATACTGTAAGTCAGTTTCTAAATAGTATAATGATATTGTATATAGAGAGGAAGAATTAAATGAAAATTCATATTTTCAAGATAAAAATAGGTAACTACCTATTGTAATAAAACAAGTTGATGACAAAAAATGATTCTGAGAGAATTAGACAAGGTATGTGTTTGTGGTTTGGGAAAAATCATGATAACAACAATGCTGCAGTGCATAAAAGATTTTTCACATTTTCTAAAGACACAGTGATTTTAGGCTTTATAAAACTTGAATTTTAATGCACAAAAGCTAAAGTATTATCATTATATTTTATTTGTAAATAGAAAACCACAACACATTTAAACAAATTTTTGAGACTCAATCAAAATTTTGAGACTCAACACCTTGTATAGAACAATTCCTTATTTCTCAGTCAGAATTGTGGGTCAAATTTGAAGAATATATTTTTGGAGTTTTGACAGTATATCCACACTATGCAGTTAGCAACCAATTTAAATCTTGTTAGGAAATTAAGAATAATATAATGGCAAAAGAATTTGTTGTCAAAAGAAGGGACAATAATGTCCCTTCTTTTGTAAATGTCTTTTTCAGATTCTGGAAGTAATATTCAATATAACTTCCTTGTTTGAAATGAGATTTGAATCTCATTCCAAACAAGGACATTTAATTGATACTTCAAAGATAAGTGGTTATAAAAGAAATACTTAGCAATTTCAAATTATAACTTATAAAAGTTCATAAATATAATTTATGAGAATCTATTAAAAATTGAAAAAAATTATATTTGGTTATTGGATTAATACTAATAAGAATGCAATAAATCTGATTTCTAATAATATATCTTTTAGATATAATTTTTGTTTTCTTTTAAAAAGTTGACTAAATCTATGTTATTAAAAAGAAAATATTTACAGATTTTTTTATTATTGTTACAGCATTTCAAAAGAAGAGGAGAAGTATCTTCCATTTTTGAGAATTTACATCAGTTAAAATGTCTATTGTTTGTTATATTAGTATATTTTTAGAAGAATATATTATTTAGAGATAAGGGAGAAATGCTTTGCTGCTAATTTATTAAGTGCAGCTTGCATAAACTTCTTATTAATAGCATTCCTACTTTTTTTTAAATTTGAATTTCTAGCTGTATATTAGCAATGACTTTTTACTAAATTAGCATTCCTTTATTTTTAATTACTTTTAGAAAGTTTAGTTACTGTAAGTTTATGGGACTAATTTTAAAAAAAATGAACAATTGTTTTCTTGATTTGTACAAAATATATATTTTTGTATAGCTTTGTTTTGAAATTCTTTAGTGCTAAAGATGCTAATTAATTAATGATGAGCAAATTTTTCAATGTTAACTAGCTGTTGTGTTGTTAAATGTTGGCAAAATAATGCTAATTTTTTTTTCTCCTGTATACGAAACAAAAAACATTCCAAAAAAAATAAATTATATATCTATATACATACATATATTTAGCAATAGAATGAGACAAATCATATTAAACTGTTGCAAAGTTAAATTTTATATTAATTTTATAATCTGTTGATTATGTGAATCATGTTGTTTAATTTGATGCACGCTGGCTTACTGTATCGGTAGAGTATGAGTATAGCGTACCTATATTTTCATATATCGATGTAAGGCGTAAATATAAGTGATCAGTATCACACAAACATTTCAGTTTTCATTCAAGCTGTAGTAAAATTTTAAATCTTGGGAAAAAATTCTATTTTGAATTGTTATTTATAAACACCAGCCAGAAATGAATTATTTCACATCAATAATTTACATTCAAATAGTGTGACAGGGACCATTAAAATTTTAAAAAAATTACTAAAATTTTGCTACAGTTTGTTTAAATAATCATTTATAATAATTTAATTTTCACATAAAATCATGTACCTAGTCATGATTTGCTTTTTTTGCAAGAAAGACATTTGTTTGCACAAAATCAAAAATTTTATCCTAGCATTCCAATTTAAAAAATGTATACAGTTTTAGTATGTTATTTTGACTATAAAATATCTGATGTAACTTGCTTATGTAGCAGAAGAGTGAAACATTTGTGAACAATTCAACTAAAAGCACTTCTGTCATTTACAGTCATAGAGATGTTTATCATAGCCTTGTGCCTTAAATGTGTCTATTGTATTTTTATTTGGAAATATTCATTGGAACAATACATGTTTTGAACCATTGTACTAGGCATTAACAACTAGTCTCAATCAGATTTACAAATGTTTAAACTAAATCTGATATTGGTATCATGAACTGTACTATTTGTAATTATAATAAAATCTTGTTGAAAAACCTTTTGTTCATTAATTATTATTAACATATAAATTTGGCTAAATATACCAGATATTAAAGTTTAAATCTTAATGTAAATATGCTGAGAGTTACTCGATTACATGTGATCCATCAGGTCCACATTTAAAAAATTAGAATTTTGAGGAACAATAAGACATTACTTTTTGCAAAAAAGTTTGAAAATTTTTCAAGTAATTTAAATCCAATGACATTGGAGTGTAAAGAAATGATCTTCACTTGCTCAGTTCAATAAAAGATTTAAAGTTATAAGTCAAAAACTAATCATTGATTTTATAAATACTGCCAAGAATTAATACAGTAGCTGTATTATTCTCATTTTTCTTTGTCAATATGCTACTACAAAGAGTAGATGTGGAGAGACCCAGATCTTTTGTTCTAGATCTGAATAGTTGTATTCAATTTTCAAAAATAATTTGAAGTAAAATGAATCTGATTTTTAACCTAAAGACATTTGTATAAAAATTTTGAGACTTTCAACATCTTGTATAGAACAACAAAGAAATTCTATATTTTCTTGTCGAAGAAGCAGGAAGGATGCATTTGACGTTAGTTGAAACTGAGACAGCGGACCCATTATCTCCTGAGAACTGTATCGTGACTCCGACGACTTCTAATAGGACCGAAAAAGGGATGTTGCTTTGAAAGATTGATTTAAAAAAGGCCTTGAAATGCAAGCGAAGAAAATGAAAAAAACCTCTTGTAATATAAAATTTCATAACCTTCAGTTGAACAGAATGTAAGAATTCTATCTGTGAATCCGGACATTTTATCAGGGATTTCGTACTTTTATAGTCAATACTGGTAATTTCTAAGAGTTACCTGGATTTGTTTCATTCTTCCTCTTGGCTTATATATTTTATTCTTCATGTGAATAAAAAGACGTATTTTAGTATAGTTAATTGAATAATTCAATAAGTAGTTTCTCCAAGAATAAATAATGCATCCTTCTTATTACTTACTCTCTATATACAGTAGACCCCCCTATAATACAGTAGATACGTTCCGTGTTATATGAATTCCGTGTTGTACGAGTCACTTAAATACATGAGCCAATCACAGCCCGGCACTTGTGCAGTTTAGGAGCTACGGCTGTTTGAAAGGTTTTCTTCCATAAAATTAATCGATTCTAGACTAATTTGACTCGAACATTTCCAAATCACGTATAATTTTTTGGGAATAATGCATATAAACTATGCTATAAACAAAAAAACTGTAGGATTACTTACCGAGTGCGTACCGTTCGAAGACGCCATTGCTTAAGCTTGTTTTCGTCGCGGACGCGTTTCCTGATAAGTTATTCTGATGACTAAAGACAAAATTTTAGATAACGTAAAAATTATAAAATTACAGTATTAGACTTACAGTACGTAATTTATATACTGTACAGACGATAGTAAACTTAACTTTCCCGTCTAAACTCTCCGTATATACGAATGGTGCTGGACGGCGACTATTGGTCCGGATTAGACCACTACAATCAGTCTCATTCTTTTACCGTGTTATACGAGTCTCTTTTAGTGTGTTATACGAACACGATCGCAATTTTTTCGCCGTGTTATACGAATCCGTGTTACGTGAACCCGTGTTAAGGAGGGTCTACTGTATATTCTTGATATAGCTTGATACATGATTTTAATGATCTGAATTAAGATTAACAATTTAATCAGTTTATTACAACATTAATACACTATATATTTTTATAACAGAGATTATATCAGAAGAAGTTATGAATGTCTGTCCAAATGATACACAAAGATGTGATAATATTTGTAAGAACCAAGGAGCTGCAGGAGGATATTGTAGATTTTCTGAGACATTTTCAATTTCATATTGTCATACACTTTTGTCTTCGTCAGAAAGTGTAGCGTGTCTGAAGATTTAATTGAAATCATTGAAAGAAATGAAAAATTGACATAAGTTTTCATTTTAAAAATATATTTTTTTTCTTTTGTATCTAAAATATGTAGGTGTATATAAATGAAATTTGATATTAGCGTATTTCTAATTTGTTATAAATCTAAATAAATATTCGAAAGTGTACTGTAATTATTACAGTATTTTAATTCCGTTTTCATTTTCTTATTTTTATTTTTTATTTTTTTACTCTATTTGACCTGTGGACACTGAGTGAACCTTCTTGCCAGGATGATCATTGGGTTCGGCCATGGCCACAGAAAAGTGAAATAGTCTCATGTAAGAAAAGTGAAATGGTCTCATAACAAGGAAAAGTATTGGAATCGTCTCAAATTTGACCCTCAGAGTTTTTGTAAATCTCTACGTTTTGAGACCTCCTGAACACCCAAAAAGTAAAAACACGGCAAAAAATTCAGTCGATATGTATGTATGTATGTATGAGTGCGTGTGTTGGTGTCTATTTCGTTTAATATCTCAGGATGGGGTGAAGATAAAGAAACTAAATTTGGCACAGCAGTTTGTGTACAAGAGGCATTGATGCTATTAAATTTTGATGGTTAAAGGTCGAGGGGTGAGGAGATAGAGAGGGTCATGTTCTATACCATAGGCTTACCATAATATTTTTTTCTCAAACCGGGAAAATTCTGAGATAATACCCACAAAAAAAATAAAGCCTACTGGGGTAAGTAAGTAATGTACCTATAATTGTAAAGGCTAAATAAAGAAGTTAACAAAAAAAAACAACGTGTTAAAATCAACTTTTAATAACTGAACTGAACATACCTTATTGTTAAAAAGTCATTAATATTTATCATTAGTGAGAAGTTTCTTTAAAAATTCTTTGTCACTTGAATCGGTACCTTTAATAATAGCAGATGAAATTCGATCTAATAATCTGATGTCTTACATCAGGAGTGACAGTAGTGACTCCCCTCCAAGTAAAAAAAAGTCACTGACTGACTACATATACAGGAATCAGAGAGACCTAGATTAATTAAAACACTAAAACAGTTCTCTTTATTTATCCTATTTAACAATGCATTTCGGACTGGTAGTTTTCCAATCCCTCTTCGGTCTCACGGCTTCGGTGTCCGAGATTGTTGTCTACAACATAACAAAAGGTTAGTTTGTCTTAATATACTTTTGTTATCCACAATTTGTACACATCCTAATAGTGTAGTTTCTACATATTGTACACTTACTGGCATGTTTTATTTGTCTATTTTTGATGGGAAATGCAACGCTTCTTCCAATTCCCACACAATTATTAACTTCTTATTACCTCTTAGAAGAATTTTAACATTTGATATTGTGGTTCATAACATGACACAGTTCAAAATGTGAAAAATAAAGAAAATGAAAAAAAAAATTCAATGTGAGCATTTGCTGTTATAACTATTTTCGGATTATTCTGCATGACATCCAGCATTAAAATTAAACAATGCAGTAATATGAGGGCAATTATCGCGACTGATTTAAAATGTTTCTTCTCTATGAAAGACACCGCAAAATCACTATGAAGATATTTATTTAAATTTATAACAAATTACAAATATGTTGCATATAATGTTGCATTGCTACAGTCTTACAAATTTTAGATATAAAAAAACAAAATAGATTTTTTTAAATGAAAAATAAAGCGAATTTTTTGTATTTTTCTATTAAATCTTGAAACAAGTAACCTTCTAACGTAAACAAGCACATCTTAACTTCCTAGGTCCTGTACAAAATCCTCCTCTGCTACCGATTTTCCGACAATATGCATTACATCGTCGATCAGATGGACAGCCGCGATCAGCTTCCACAGGCACCTCTGTTATACAAATTCATTAATATTATAATAAACTGTTTCTATTGTTAATCCTAATTTAGATTTATAAATTCTATATTAAGAAATATAAAGAATACATAAAGGAACATAAAAGAAACGAATTATTTTTTTCTTGGAGAGGAAACGTATTAAAAAACGTCATTTCCACCTACCTAGAGTACAAAATACAAAAGCTAAGAGGAAGAATAAAACAATGGCTTTCATGATTTTCGTCTTTTAGAAAGTTAGGCTTTGATATTTATCTGTAAAGAAAAAAAAACATGAAATGTATTAGCAAACTTTACTATTATTATTATTACTTAGTCATTTCTTATGTATGCATATACACAAATTTATTTATCGTATTATTTTATTTAAAATCACTTATATAAAAGAATCGAAATAAACATTATTTAACAATTACTACAATTATTGTTTATGTGAATTTTTGTATTTTCTATAAGCAAATTATGTAAAAAACTTACCTGAACTGANAAATTAAGAAAAGATGATGTATCATTTTATCAATTTCCCTTATAGCATATTAAGATGAACCAATCTAACAGCTCACTTTGGTTGTGCTAACTATACCTTTTGTTTCCAAATATTGCACAAAAAATCAAATGTTTGCACTTTGAATTTGCAATGTCAGGTGGCTGCTGGAAATGGGTGAAAGGTGTACTGTAGATTATTATTAAATACAATTGTTGATGGTTATATACAATAATAATAAAATCTGATAACCTAGTTATACATATATTATTTATCATCTGATACAGTTGGCAGTATTCAACAATGCTGAATTATCAAAAGTTGTCATGTCATGTGATTAACGTATGACTAATCTTCAAAATATATCAGACCACCAGGTGCTTACTGTGGCACTGATCCAAAGTCGAATCCAATCCAGTCTCTTTCACAAGTAAAGTGTTTAAAGGCATTATTTGTCGTCAATTCCATTGCATGTTGGGCTTACTCAAAATGGAATGTATTACAACCTGCCAAATAGAATAGGTACTTTGATTTGTCAATATAATTGTACTAAGTTTTAACTTCTATTGTACGAAAAATCAAAACTTCATTATTTCAATATATCATGAAGAAGATACTTTTTAACTTTGAAGTTATTGCAACATGCAAAAATTTTGACATTAAATTACAATTAAACTTCAGTATAATAGTCAACATTTATTTCATTCATAAAATTTTATTATTTAGCATCACATTGATTACATTCTTTTAATAAAATGTTTTT